TTGCCGGGAACATAGTAAAAAATTACAAGTATGTTTTAGCATTTTAGCATTAGATTATTGATTGAATGCATCGATTGATAATTACGTAATTACTTCAGTCGTTACGGACATGTTATCATGTATAAGCACTACATCTCATTTTAAACTATTCACTGATGATCTTCGTTCCCCACTCTTTGCTGCTGTCTAATAATGTGAGTATGCCACCATGCGTCGCTTATGAACGCGCCATCACACTGACGGGTACCCACTCTCCTCATACCGGTATGGTATTTGACGTTCATTGGTGAATAGGATAAGTACACGTCAGATATACGGAATCCAATTGTGATATAATAAGCTGAATCAAATCTCAATCGTTTTGGCGTTTTGTCAATTAGCGTGCGAACTCAAGCTTTGTCAATCATTCACTTCCTACGAAGTATGTTCATTATCGAACAGCCCGGCGCGTCAAGTTGACTTTTTTCTGAATCAATTTCCTATGGACGGGGTTTGAAACAGTATATTTTGTCATTAGGCCGAAAAAAACTTTTTTAGCGAGGATGAGCTTTGCAAGAATCATATTGGTCGACAAATTTGTTTTGGCCGTATGACGCCCACTATTTTTTGTCATAACAGCCATAGTCAGCGTTTCGTGGACGCGAAGCAAAGCGACGCAGCCGTAAAACACTGTCTCACAGCCGGAATTACAAAAGCCTTTATTAACAATAATCGATTATCCAATCGGAACTAAAACTGCGGAAAATTGTCCTAGTTGACGCTGTCAGCATAAACTTGGCATTTTTTAATATTTCCATGGTTTTTTAAAAATAAGATTATATCATAATCAGTTCGCCTACTGTGTGATTTCAACTATTCAGTAATTGTCCCATGTTTCTGTCTTGGAGGCGATCAGATTCACGTCGACTTGGCACCATTTTTTCACAAAATTTTTTTTGTGATTTTTTAAATGTAATATTTATATGATTTTTTTGAAAATTGTGTGATTTTATCCATGCAGTCATTGTTCCATGCTTCTATCTTGCGTTTAAATGAGCCTCGGCTTGGCGCCATTTGTTCACAACACTTTTTTATAATTTTTTTTTATGTTAGTAATTACCAAACAAATGATGCAATTAAAAGTATTGGTACCTGTTTTAAGCCTCTCCGACCTGTGCTAGTTAATCATAGTAATTTTCCTCAACGAGATATAATTTAAATATTCATGTTTTAGTTTTTATTCAGTCATTCAAGTTGATTATTGAAAAATATTACATAAAAAATAAATTAACACTCGATTCCAATTGTTAAAGGGTCATTTACAAACATTAAATTATCTGTTTTGTTTAATTTATGATTGAAATGTTCGAATTCTAAATATTGAAAAATTAACTGAACTAAAATTTTTAATTTGGTTGTTATATTCAAATCATTAAATTATTAACAATCGATTCCAATTGTTAAAGAGTAATTCACAAATATTAGGTTATTTAGGTAATTAATTAAAGATTAAAATGCTCGAAGATTAAAGCACTGAAAATTTTTAATTTAAAGGATTAAATTCAGGTGCAATATTGAAATTAAATATTAACAATTGATTACAATTGTTAAAGGGTCATTTCCAAACATTAAATTATCTGTTTAATTAATTTTAGATTAAAATGTTCGAATTCTAAATATTGAAAAATTAACTGATCTAAAATTTTTCATTTGGTTGTTATATTCAAATCATTAAATTATTAACAATTGATTCCAATTGTTGAAGAGTAATTCACAAATATTAGGTTATTTAGGTAATTAATTAAAGATTGAAATCCTCGAAGATTGAAGCACTGAAAATTTTTAATTTCAAAGATTAAATTTAGGTGCAATATTGAAATTAAATGTTAACGATTAATTCCAATTGTTAAAGGGTCATTTACAAACATTAAATTATCTGTTTAATTAATTTATGATTAAAATATTCGAATTCTAAATATTGAAAAATTAATTCAACTAAAATTTTTAATTTGGTTATTATATTCAAATCATTAAATTATTAACAATCGATTCCAATTGTTAAAGGGTACGTCACAAATATTAAATGACTTGATGCTCCTTGATTGGCTTACAAGCACGGGCTCCATCCTAGTTCATGCGCCACCGCTACGGACCCGTGAGGATGAATTCCGTAAGCGCAGACAATTTCCCCTATACTTACGAGTTTTATTCCCTAGAACAGCCCACTTAAGGCCCGGTTGGAGGGATTTTCACCCGACAAGTCCCTAGACAATTCCCCATAAAAAACGTGTTTTACGCGGACATAAATACCAGCCCCTGTAGACCCTCGAAAAATATGATCTAGGGGTCAATAAATAGATAATTTTTTTTGCCGGGCCGGTAATTAGGTCTCAGAGGTGAGAAATTGAGAAATGAACGTATAATTACGTTGCAAGAATCCCCCTAGATTTCACCAAGGCGAATTCCCCAATGACCGTTTGGGGAAAAATATGGCGGCCCAATTCCTCCGACAAAAAAACACTCACCACATATTACACATGCACTTTACAC